TTTGATATTTTTTAATCTTCTGATCTCATAAATAAACCGTAATTATTTTAGATATGAGCGATGCATAATACATCAAGTCCCGTTAGAAAAATTAAATCAAATAGTTCATTCATGTTGCAGGCCCACCTCACAGTTACATAATTTTTAATATAAACTTCTTAAGTAACAACAGCAACAACATCGGGGATAATTTCCATTTGATTAAACCAACATAACGTAATTACCAGTTTTAAAATGATCCGTTTAATGCCCACTGAGTCCATCAATCAACACACAGACAGGTATTTTGATATAAAACGTGCCCAAAAATATTTGGGCATTATTTCTGTATCAAAAGTCAAAAAATATTTCAGAAGGTATTTTTACCAGAAATTAAAAAAATATTTGGATTCAAAAATTGCTTTAAAAAAGTACCTTTTTTATTAAATTTATTTATTGGGATAAAAACCTACGATTGACAATGTAATGAGATTATTTTTATTTACAGAATAAATTTTTTTTTATGTTAATAAAATTCTCATTTACTATAATAAAGCAGAAATGTTGAGCTTTAAAAAAAATGTTCATCCAACAAAGTAATAGTTGTTATCATATTGTCATGGCAATAAGAAATACTTTATGTTTATATTAAATCTTTGTCGAAATTAAAATGTTTTTGTTAAATCTATAGTTGTGTGTGAATTGCGCTTATATAAAGTAATGCGCAGTTGTTATAGTAAAATTTCTTCATTTTACTATGGCATATTTGTCTTTTTTAAATTACTATCGTTGTAATTCAAATTAATTTTATTTCAGTTAGAAAATCTTTGTTAATAGCTTACGTTAAGAACAATAACAAAAATATTTTTTCTACTCCCACCTTTAAAACGCCCTTTATCGTACATGTTTCCATGACACTAAGTGACCTTTTAAATACACATTGACATTGACATTGACAAGTGGATTTACGTCGCTTTAGTCACGGGCTGAAGTTAGCAACAGGTTTTTAGTCACGGGCTGAAGTTAGTTTTAAGTTAGTTGACAGTTGCCAAATGTCATCGTAAAATAAAGTGCCTTTCTTGTAAAATAATACTAAATGTGAAAATTATTTTATTATCTCAATACAAAAATACAAAAATATTAAATAGTTTCTCAACGCCAATATTTGAAAAGTTTATATGAACATTGTACTGACCTTTTAATTTCGCCGGCAATAAACTATAACTTAAATTCGGGCACGGACTCTACTGTAAAGTCCTCATAAAACATTTTCTTTACTTTCACTGTGAAAAACTGTCAATTTTCAATATACATTTCGATTTATAACCTTTATAATTGTGTTTTATAAAATGTAAAAATGTGACATTTGACAGTTTCCCCTGTTGTTTCATAGATGGCTCTCTATACAAATTTTTGATTTAAATCATTTTAAGATAATAATAAGTATTTGTCGTAGAAAAAGTATAGTATGCACCTCGTTTATAAACTTTTCTATACACTCATTAACTTAAGCACTCGCTTGCAAGCTCGCTCGTGCCTAAATTAAATTCGTATATAAAATGGCGTTTATCAAACTTGATGCATAATATACTATTAATGCCTTGCAATTATTTAAAAAAAAACTACCCAATACCCAACAGTTGGTTGAAAATGTGACCATTGTTACAATGGACATAGTTTATTGAATTAACAATTAATTTGTTGTTAAACGAAAAGGGATTTGTAAAATTTACAAAATTACTATTAGGGTTTCATTAATACTACAAATAAACATATAGAACTGTTTTTTGGACAAATAATAATAACTATATTTATTAATGCGTTTCTGCATCTGGAAGTGTGTTATTTTTATAAACATAACGTAAATTTACTTTATAATTAATGCAAATGCTATTACTGAAAGCAGCGTTTGTAAATAAATAATTTTTATAAAAATGATCTTTTTGCCGTAACAAAAGCAATAGTTGGACGAATAGGGATCTTTACTTTATTAAGACAAACTACTTTTTTTGTTATATTTATTAAATGAAAGGTCCGAACGTTACGTAACAGCGATGAACTATATATATAAACACTTTCGCTAGCCACACACGCGTGAGAAAGCAAGCTTGAAATTTCCCATGGAAAAATATTTCGGCCTTCCCGATTGTTTGAAATGTTCAAATTTGAAGGCTTTGAACCTTTAAAAAGTGTTTTCTGTTGTGTATAATTATGGGTATATAATTAAATGGCTTTAAATCATTCGTTTACCAAGTTGGGTTGTAATATGACGTGTCTAACAGTATTTTGGTATTAAACTAGATACATTGCTTTTCAGCAGTTATGTGAAATTGAGAAACCACATTTTACAATAATATTTAATAAATTGTCCATCCATAAACTTGATCGACTTTTGAAATTTTCCGGTCTAATAATGTCCCAGTTAGCATTTAATTTGCCTTGACAAAATATTTATTTTGTTCAATAAATCTCCAAATGAAATTTCTAAAACGAAAGTGGTCCTTTTATGTTCATTTGAAAATAGTCACCAATTGGAAAATAAACAAACAATTTAATGTAAAGAATATTAATAATTTTATTGCGATTAACCTTTCTAGAGATTTACTCTATTTCATGCTTTTCTCTTTTTTATTGATCGATAATTCTTTATTGGAATTATTAATTAGGTTTGCTACTTTTTACTTGGTTTCTATTTTATTGGTAATTATTTTATAAAATTATAAATATTTTAGTAAGTAAATTAAAATTTCACTCATAATTTACGTTCATCAAAATGGTTAGCAATATTTAAGGATAATTATATCCTATTATATACAGGGTGACCCAACAAAGTATCATATAAAAATAAGAGATACCTAGGGTAAAGTAGGACAATTAACATTAATACTGTAAAAACAATAGTTCTATAAATAGTTACCTTAAAGTCAAATCAACTACTTTCTTTTAAGTCCAATAAGGGACAAAAAAGTTTGCACGTTACTTTGGAGGTAAGATTTTTGTTTTTTTTTTTTGTTAAGAGCAGGGCTGTGTTTAAATAACAATAAAAAATATTTCTATAAAGTGTACAGATCTGTGTGTGGTATAAATGTGTTCCACATTGTCACTTTAATGCGTTTTAATTCTGAAAACAAACAGTATAATGGCTAGTGTCCAATTACTGGTTGGTAAAAAATGTAAATTTCTATTATTGGACATATGTCTAATATATTACTATTTGTATCCCGGACATTTACCAGCCAATTCTTATGTAAAATTGTCCCCTGAATCCGAAAAATCCGTCAAAAACTATAAAAGTTAAGCAGTTTTTGAGATATAGTCAATTCCATATTATATGTAAAATTGATTATGTTTCAAAAACTGTTCTACTTTTATAACTTTTGACATTTCCGGATTCAGCGAATAATATTTCATAGGAATTGACTGCTAAATGTCCAGCATACAAATTGCTGTTGACGAGAAATATTAGTGGCTGCTTTTTCGCTATGAAATTTTTGACTAATCCATATTTAGAGAGTAAGTAATATTGTGATTTCTTCGTCACAGGATATCTTGCAGAATAAAAATGATTTAAATACAGTGCATGATAGAGAACATAAAAAACTAATGGCAACAAAATTAATAAATTTGAAAAATATTTTTAACATACCACCCGAAATAATATGGGAAATATATAAATCATCCTGTTCCGGCCTAAACATTATAAATGCTTCACAAACTAGAGATACCACACTTGATGATATTTGCAACAAACTATTTCAGAAGTCAGACCAAGGAATTAGTAATTACCTTCAGAATCCAGAAAAGGAATGAGGAATCCGAGAAAGAAATATATGAATTTTATGATATTTACAAAAATGAAATAAAAAAAATTACCTAAAACAGCAATTTATCTAAAATATATTTAACAATTTATGTTATTTTATGTAAGGTGGTTAGGTTTATATAAAAATTGTATGTCCAATAACTATGGTCTATGTGTCCAATTACTATATAAAATGTCCAATTACTATACTTTTTTGCATGTTTTTATAAAAAAAATTCAAATATTTTTATTTTTAAGTAAACGTAAATAAAGTATAAACAAACAAACTATTTTTATATATTTATAAGAAAAAAACTAAAATCTTTAAAACAACCGCATATGTAAATTTTAAATAAATAATATTCCTTAAGTGTCCAATAACTATGTGGTTTACCCTATTTAAAATTAAAGTTTTAACATCGACAAAAGACTAAAATTTTATAATTTTAGCCTTCTGAACTTTACCTTACCAATTAAATCGGAATATTTTAGATTAAATCTTTTATTTCGGCTAACAAACGACATAAAATGTAAACCGATAAAAACAAACATAGTTCACATTTTATGTATATCAGTATAGATACCGTTACGATAGAACTTTAATGTATAATTTATTTCTTTATTATGAAATCCGGACAGGCAAATGTATGTCCAATTCGAAGATCTTATTATACAATTAAAAAAAATTAACAATAGCTATTTGTTTGTGGGCATATGATTAACAATTTCTCAAGAATCTTGATTCAAGATAATTTAACTTCTGACAGTTAAATTAATTTACTTCAGGAGGCTCAACTCGTTTAAACATGCTATTCAATTATTTTCTCTTTTAAATCGTTTGCTCGAAAAAATATTCGGGTTTTCCCAAAAATAAATCAACGTTAGCTAAGATTAAACAAAAGCGAAAGCTAATTAGGTTTTATGAATTACTTATTATAATAACAAAATGATTTCCACATTCACTATTATTTCACAAAATGAATCTTTATTTTGACGATTGTATGACATTTGACAGCTGTCAAATAACTTAAAACTAACTTCAGCCCGTGACTAAAAACCTGTTGCTAACTTCAGCCCGTGGCTAAAGCCATTTGTGTAATTAAGAGATCACCTAGTGTATATTATAGACAGTAGATATTTTTTTGAATAATTAAGTGGTGGTATTTAGATTCTAAGCACTTGTACATACATTTTTGCACATAGTTGTATATATTTGCAGATTTGGGAATGTATCCTGCACCTCCTAGTTATAACAGGCTGTACCAGTATCAGTGCTATCCCAGCCCTCCAGGGTATTACTCCACCAGGTGCCCCCCAGGTCTGTATTAAATAGTTTTTTTGGGGGTTTTGGTTTTTTGTTAATATTTTTGTATATAACGAACCATTCTTTTTAATAATACTAACATAATACACTGCGCGTCAAAATTACCGCATAATAAGTAAAAAAATTCTAATTCTATAATGCCTTTACTAATCTTAATGAAATTTTGTATAAAAATACTTTAACTTATATCTCAGTTTACGTGTTCAAGGGTTTTTTAAAAAAATATTTTTAAAGCCCTTTTATTTTATAATAAAAAAAACGTTTGAAAAATAACTTTTAAGGAATTTTTTTTTGAAGTAAATAAAAAATATGCTATTAAAGAACGTATTTTTGTTAGTATACCCTGAAAATTTTGTACAAATTAAACGAACAGTAACGATGATACAGTGCTTCAAAGTCGGTAAAAATGAACCCTTTTTGATTATTTTGCTGAAAAGTGGTCATTTTTAAAGACTTTAAAGCGCTGTATTTTCGTTACTGTTTGTTTAATTTGTACAACATTTTCAGGGTATACTTACAAAAATACGGTATTTCACAGTATATTTTTTATTTACTTAAAAAAATTCCCTATAAAAGATTTTTTTGAGCGTTTTTTTATTATTAAATAAAAGGGCTTTAAGGATATTTTCTCGAAAAAACCTTGAACACGTAAACTGAGATATAAGTTAAAGTATTATTTTCCAAAATTTTATAAAGATTGGTAAAGGCGTTTTAGAGTAAGAATTTTTTTACTTATTATGCGTTAATTTTGACGCGCAGTGTACTAACAAAATATCATAATTACCTATATCTTGACAAAAAGTAATTAATTAAAAAATACCTTTAAAATTTTAAAATGAAACAACTTTTTATTTACTTACATGTTAAAAAAATATATAAAAACTTAAAAAAGTAAACAATTTTAGATTAATATAAATTCTTCGACACTTTTTAGCATATTGATGATATCTTGTAAAAAAACTTTAGTATTGGTGAAAGATAAAAAAACTATTTATGTGCTATAAAAACTGTTACGGTACAATATCGCACTTTTATTGATAATAAAAATATACGTGATTTATCCCCCGGAAACAATTAAGTGAAACCATGTCGCTTTAAACGGGTAGATCTAAAAAACTATTAATGTGTAAAAGTCGCTTATTGTTTAAACCGTTGTACAAGTTTAATTGGTTTTAATTTCAATTGAGCAAATCATGATTGATTAATTTTAAACTTTTTTTATTTTTCGAATATATATACAGGGTGATCCCCTATAATGTCGCCCCCTTTAACTTTTTTATTTTAAGTGTCCCAAAAAATTTAAAAGTGTGGTTATGTAGGAACTAAAAAATACTTTTATTCTACGTTTAAATAAAATTGGAAAATTGATCAGTATACAGGGAAAAACAAAAAGTTTATTTTTTTTTCAATGGATCACCCTATATATGTATTTATTTTTCAATTCCTTGTAAAATTCTAAGCATATTTCATATAACATACCATATACCTAAATTCAACCGTTTCTGAAATATTTAAATTATTTTTAAGATACTAAGTTGAAATAGTTTGTCTTTCTCTGTCTGAGTAGGCCATTTTTACTTATTTAACAAGACATATTGACATAATGTCACTATAATAATTGATTTTCAATAAAAATTTTGGTATACTGAGGCTTCTTGATTTCTAACAGTTTAAAAAAACATTTAATGATAACATTTCGAATGCGAATATTTCAGAAACAGTTGAATTTAGGATATGGTTTGTTATATGAATTGTGCTCAGAATTTTACAAGGAATCGAAAAATAAATTCATATATAGGGTGATCCATTGAAAAAAACTAAACCTTTTGTTTTCCCTGTATATTGATCAATTTTTCAATTTTTTTTATACGTAGAAAAAAAGTATTTTTTAGTACCTACATAACCACACTTTTAAATTTTTTGGGAGACTTAAAATAAAAAAGTTAAAGGGGGGCGACATTATAGGGGATCACCCTGTACATACCATTACTTTACTTAAAAAGTTGCTTATTACAAAAATAATGACTATATGTATTGGGCCAGCAAATCTTAGCTAACCCCTCTGCATGCGGCCATTAAATACAAACTCTTATGTTATTTAAATAAACTTGCACGTTATAATTCAAGTTGGAACTAACAATGTGACAAAATAGGATCCCATTAATAAATTATCTCCATGTAAAGAGAAAATGTAAATTGTTTTTCTATAAGATGCTTGAAAAAAGCTATTTGACCATTTATAGAAATATTCTGATATCTTTCAGCTAACGGTTATGCTAAGAACATTGCGTCAACCCATATTGTCAAAGTAAAACCTTTGAAATATGCACTTAAAGTTAAGTGTTTCGAGATAATTTGGAATTTATCAAAAAACTAATACTAGTGTATGTCTTGCTCTATCAAACCACCATTAGTTTGAAATATTATTGTCCATTTTTTCAACACCTGTGAAGTTTAAAGACCTCAATTTTTTTTACCCCATATTAAGTCTGGTCTTGAGTAAATTAATTTTAATAATTAAAAAAATTAATATAGGTATGTACATTTCTACATTTCTTGAAACAACTTTGTAAATAGATATAAAGATATACAACTTATTTATGTTTATTACTTTTATCGACCGAAAGCCATAATAACTTAATTTATTTCGCTGTTAAATATTTAATAGTGGACTACATAAAACTGGTTGGACACATTTATTACAATAGTAACGCCAAAGTGATAGAAGTAAAAGATTGGAAGCAATAAATTTTACAACTTAATAAAAAGTAGAAATATATTTCATTAAAATAGCGGGTTTTTGAAATTTTATTTTGTTATTTTAAAAAATACATTTGTATATGTAAATAATGTTAAAAACTTCTTGTTGACCCTCATCAGTGCCGGATAGCCATGGTATTTACCTCGTGTTACAGTAAAACCGAATTCTTAGTTTACAAAAGATATTGTAAAAGTAGTATCTTTGCAGGAAACGCAATAAAAACCACAATAAAAATCGCCGAACGTATAACTAAAGTCCGCAGTCTGTGTACGGACTAAATGCCAGTGATTTAGACTGAACAGTTACGGTTTGAAGGAGACTTTTGTAGAGGAAGAGGAAATTTTAAAACATGCATAATCTATAATCATAACAATTTAACAACTTAATGGTTTGTTTTGTTTTTCAGGTGGCGTGTTTCTACGTCCTGACGATGGAAACGTTTATACAACGTTGGAGCCCACTTTGAGCAGCAACCCCAACGTTTATTTTCAGAGGGGAAATGGGGTGCATCCTGGAATGATGTATTGAAAAACGAAAAACGAATATAACCAAATTTGCCGGTTATTGCATCATTATAAATGACAATAGCTTGTTGTATTCACGGAAAAAAACGAGCATTTTAATTCATATGTATATACAGTACAAATTTTTAAAAAAATTAAACATAAAATTATAAATTTGCTCTCCAAAGTGTATTCAAATTCAACATGAACTAAATGTGGACACAAATCGAGTCACACCCTCCGAATCGACCAATAAGAACACACAATCCGAGTCACACCCTCAGAATCGACCAATAAGAACGAGTTATCACGCGTCTGGGCGTTTTGTTTGGTTAGGCTTTAATTTGAATACACTCTAGATCATTATATATATTTTTTTTTGTTTTGTCTATAATTTATTTTATTTTAATTTTACTCTCAATCAAAAACAAATTTTTGTTGGTTTTATTTTGTGATATGAAAGAAAGGGTATTTAAATCGGTTAAATTTTTGTATTTTTTGTAGTTTTAAAACTTAAAACTTTTAATATACAGAGAGTCGTTCGGAGTATACTAGTACACATTATTTAGGAAGTTTTGAAAGTTTTAAAATTCTACGAATTTTACAATACTTTCAAAGTTTCAAAACTTCCAAGATATTAAAAAATTTTAAAATTTAAAAAAAAAAATTTAGAAAATTTTAACAAAATTTGAAATAATAACAATTTTGTGATTTTTGTCTGTTTTAAAATTGTTTAAAAATACAAAATTTTACAAAATTGTCTTACCATATTTATATTTATACCACTGTGCAATTTTTTTCAACCATTTTTAAATTTATCCCAATGTGCGAATTTGTTATACCATTTTAAAAATTAAAATTTGATTTTTTTAATTAAAAAAAATTACATTTTGGGATTTTTGACAATTTTAAAAAACTTAAAAACCCAATATTTTTTATATTTATACTACTGTGCGAGTTTCCCCACATTTTTTGATTTTGAACAAATGCGAATTTGTCCTGTAAATTAAAAAAAATTTCAATTTAGAAAATTTTCAAAATTTCCAAGATTTTAATTTTTTTTTAATTGTGTCAGTTATTTAAATTTTACTTTTTCTTCATCTTAAAAAATGGGTTGGGGTTTGAAAAAAACTAAAATGGCTACCATACAGTTTTAAAAATAAATCTTGGACATTAGCATATTTGTAACTGTTAGGTACCCTCCAGTAAAATAGAACAACAAAATCGATTTAAAATGGTCAAACACTTTAAAAATATACAAGTTGTACATAAAATGTGTCAAATATCATAAAAGTAAACCATGTATGAAGAAAATCATTATTTTTTGTAACATTAATATAAAAAATATAAACAATAAAAAAATCGGAAAACTAGTTCAGCCACAGATGCAGGTAATCAGTGCAACAGCTCTCTGTTATTTATCTATTTCACGATTTATTCAAACTTAATTTAATTATTGTATCAATAATAATAATATAACTGCAACGTATTCCTTGCCTACACAGTCTATACATTATTATCTGTTTCGCATCGCTTCCCAGAATAATGGCCATTTATTGTAAAAGTTTTTTTTAATAAGAAACACAACGAATGACTGACTCGTTTTTACCATATTTTATCAATGTATTATTTAGTTTTAGATGAAAACTAGGTTAAGTCCTGTACATATTTTTATGTAAGATAAAAGTTTTAGTAAAAAATGTTTTTTATTTCTATAAATACCTTTTATATATAAATTATTATACACCGCCGTAGAATAATGAAACTACATAGTGGTTCCATCTATCGCGTTTAGCTCGAAATCAGCATAGAAAATGTAAACTTACAGTTAACTGTAAAATAAATTCATGTACATAACCTATAACCAAATAAAAAAAATGAACTGTAGGTATTATAGTTGATATTCAATGGCGTGCCAAATATATATTCTTGCACCTTGTAACAATTAAAATAATTCTAATCTATTTATTTACGATGATAATCACGCTATCAGCGATAATTAAACAATTAGCTGGCAAAAATTAAAACCGTTACCGCCACATTTAATACGATTAAACGCTATTAAACGAAACGGCTTTGGCGTGTTCTAAACCATCATCTAATGAACATGCCAAGAATTTCACTGCGCGAATTAAAATGTAATGAGGAACTTCAATGAATTGGCATGGAAAAATTAGTAATACGTGAAATTAGAAAATAGGTGTTAACATGGGAGCTATGAGTGCTACTTAATAATCTTAATGAATGTAGATTAGTAGTTTGGCATCCAAATTACCAAACATAAACCGTTTAACACTAAAAGTAGAATTTATGTACATTGTAAGCGTATTATAATAAATTATAAACATAAATACTTAAAGCGATACGCGAGAGGGTATTAAGTTATTGTGATAAGTGCCAACGCGCACCAAAAGATTGCTAAACGGAACTTACCGTATGCTGTTAAAAAAACTCAAGTAATGCGGTCTCCGTTGGAATTCCTAGCAGGACAGATTAATCGTAATAGGCTTGGTCACTGGATATGTAAATATGGATTTGCAAAATTTTTTGTTAATTTAAATTAATAATTATTGTTATAAAAGTTCATTTTATTAACTCCGTGGGCATTTTAGACCATTTTGAAAATTACAGAAATTTTTAATACTAATTTTGGAAATTTTCTCATCTAATATTTTTCTACGACAAATATTAGTGTAAAAAATGTATTACCTACTAATTAATTTAAATATTTGTATAGAGCGACATCTATGAAAAAAATGCCAAAATTCAAAAAAATTTGCCAGCTCTGGATTAATTTTATATTCTTGAAAGAAAATTTAGATGTGTTTTTATTAAAAAAGGCTACAATGCAACATTTTAGATTTTTCATGGTTTTGCTGCAAAGAACATTTATCTATTGACACGTAATTTAATTTTTACCGAAATCTAATTAATAGTTTGTAAATAATTAATTTTTATATTTAGGACAAAATTTTTCCAATATTATAATCAACGCTTTTAATAATGCTAGATGCTGTTTCAATTTAGACAACTTATTTTTATGATTTTTACTGAATTAAAATGTTTACTATGTTCACGTAAATCATTACTAAAATGTGTATTTATTGTATCTAATAGGTACAATTATTTATATTTACAGGGACTGTATGAAATTTATTTCTTCATTAGGATTTCCACTGTTTATCGGAAAACCGTTAAAAACTCAACCCAGGATTTCCTCTCGAAAAACACCCAACATAACAAATCGTGCCTACCAGCGATGCTTTTTTAGCGTATACCTTGTATAAATAAAAATTGCATTTTGCAGGCCAATATTTTTATTATCATGGTGCGCCCTTCACGAATTTTGACTTAGGTAGGAGTAAAAAATCATTAGGACATATTTGAACTACTTTAATAAAAAACTAACAATGATTAATCAAGATATATTAAAATACTTGACGTTAAAGCAGCTATCATTAATATTAAGTACATACTACTAAAACAGGTGGTTGATTAAAAAATTTATATATTTTATGTGAGGACAAAGTAATAATAGAATATATTATAAATAAAAAATGCTTATATTTAAGTTTTTACTTAGTTTTTACTTTTATTTATACATCGGCGGTGTGGCAAAGAATTTTTGTTTCCTCTTCATCAGATTATTCCTAAAAATGTCTTTTGTGTAAGTGTGTTTAAATTACCCAAATTGTTTCTATAATTTTAATAGTCCACACTTAATCTTAGGTTCTATAGAAAATTTATTTCATCACTTACCTATTCGGGGTAAAAATACTGTTTTTGGTGGCAGATCTCAACAAGGAATCCGTGCTGGGCGTTTGGCGGAGATTATTCGAAGTAATTGGACTTACATCAATAAAACTGGACCAGTATTCGCTTGGCAAATACAGTAAGGCTTCCATAACCTAATGAAAAAATTAAGCATATGCAAAAGTGGTGAAAACATTTTTTTTTGTCCCACCTGTGCTTGCTGCCTTGTTTCAGTCAACAAATTTCCGGGATCCGGGTCCTCGCAGGAATAGCCAACAATTGTTGGTCCAAAGATTTTTGCCAAATTCCCTATTGGCATTTTGCATTCTTTCGCTTCTGATATTCTGAAAAAAAGATTTATGAGCGTTTCCCGTTGTTCTGCGGAGTTTTTGTCCTTAAACCATTCTTTTGCCGGTCACTATACTTCCAAAAATGGCGAATGCGCCAGGATATATACACTCACAGGCAAAATTTTCAATCGCAAATAACTTTTTTATTTGATGTCGGATTTAAACAAACATTAAAGAATATTGTAGATACATTAATGGAGAATCGCTCACATTTTAAAAATTACTGAAAATACACGTACGTTTATAATATACAGGTTTAAACAAAAAGATGTTTTTTACCATAAGTTTAAGACACTCTGTAGAGTGGCAAAACCGTATATTGTTCTAAATTAAGTTTTATTTATCAAGTCACATCTATTTTTAACAGTTTTGTTTTTGGTTTACCATAATATATTTATTTTTGTGGAAAATATGGATTTTTTTTTAAAAACATTGTATATTCCAATATTTTTCCTGTATGAAGAACTAAGGTTGCTATGGTCCATCCATAGCCTATGGAGGATGACAGTGACAGTTTTGTTAAATCATCCCATACTTGGACATTTAAATTTAAAGTTTTACCGTTTAAAATGCATGTAAAAAATGTATTTATTTTTTCAAATTTCTAATGCTTACCCACCTTTGACAATATTGCAAATCGGTTTAATACACCTTATGGGGAATTTCACGCTCTTTAAAATTGCTTTTGAGTTTTTTTTTGTAACTCGCATTGGTTCACCGGTAGGAGTCGTCAAAGGACAGTTTTTGAAAAAAATCGTTTTTTTTTTTAAATTTTTTCCAACAAACCGCAAAAAGTAGGGAGAAAAAAGGGCTGAATCATAAAAAAAAGTTATCCAACCAATATTTAATGAATTTACAGCCATTTTTATAACTGAAAACGTAAGAAATTGATAATTACCAACTCATAATGTTATTTAGATTGATTTTTTCTATTTATTATCCCTACACTTAGAAGTTTTTTAAAATTATTGATTTCTCACTTATAATGAATATGAAAACAACAGATAAATTCATAAAAAAAAAAACAATAAGAAAATTGTAACGTGGATTTTGCAATTTTTCAACATTTCTGTCATATAGCAAAAAAATATAAATGAAGATTATTTAATTTTTTGAAGCGAAATTTGAAATATGTTACATAACCTTCTGTATATTCCGATTAAAGTTTTGTTGTTTTTTTATGTGTTGTTTTCATATTCATTATGAGTGAGAAATCATAATAATTTTAAAAAAGTTCTTAGTGTAGGGAAATATAATGATAATAAATAGAAAAATATCAATCTAAATAACATTATGGGTTGGTATTTATCAATTTCTTACGTTTTCAGTTATAAAAATGGCAGTAAATTCATTAAATATTGGTTGGATAACTTTTTTTTTATGAATCAGCCCTTTTTTCTCACTACTTTTGGCGATTTTCTCGAAAAAATAAAAAAAAAACGATTTTTTTCAAAAACTGTCCTTTGACGACTCATACTGGTGAACTAATGCGAGTTACAAAAAAAACTCAAAAGCAATTTTAAAGAGCGTGAAATTCCCCATAAGGTGTATTAAACCGATTTGCAATATTGTCAAAGGTGGGTAAGCATTAGAAATTTGAAAAAAATATATATTTTTTTTACATGCATTTTAAACGGTAAAACTTTAAATTTAAATAGTGAGTGCTTAAAATTAATATTAAGAGCTCAAACTTGGTGAGAATATTTTTTCCTATATACAGATTAATATTTTGCTTGAGCACCGAAAAAAAACAAAAACTTTGCGGAAATGAATCACCCTAATATGGATGGACCATAACAACCTTAGTTCTTCATACAGAAAATATTGGAAATTGCAATGTTCTTTTAAAAAATCCATATTTTCCACAAAAATAAATATATCGAGGTGAACCAAAAACAAAACTGTTAAGAATAGATGTGACTTGATAAATAAAACTTAATTTAGAACAATATACGGTTTTGCCATTCTACAGAGTGTCTTAAACTTATGGTAAAAAACATCTTTTTGTTTAAACCTGTATATTATAAACGTACGTCTATTTTTTGGTAATTTTTCAAAATGTGAGCGATTGTCCATTAATTTATCTACAATATTCTTTAATATTCGTTTAAATCCGACATCAAATAAAAAGTTATTTGCGATTGAAATTCATCGAAAATTTGTGTGGATCGATTATTTTGCACGTGAGTGTGTATCATTTTCCGATTATTTTTGTGACTTACTTTTGCAGGTGGAGCACCATGTAGGCCAGCGTGTCCCTGTTGGGCTGCGGTAGTTGACTGATGGCGTGGTAGAGGGCGGGATCGGTGTCCCGTCTGTCTTTTTGCTCGATTGCCGACACGAAACTCCTCCACAAGCCGAACGTGATGATCGGCTCGTTCAGGGAGCGCAAAAAGTCCTTCACAGTGCCGCAGATGACGTGGATGTCGACCTGCGAAAGGCAGGGGATGCCTCTGCCTTTAAGGAATTTTTCCTAAGAAAGCACCAGTGCTTTTTAGATTCGGTTATTTATTTAATGTTATCCATTAAACGAGTTATTAAAATGTTTTTAGGATTTTAATTAATTTTCACATTTAAAAATAATATTTTTAGATATTTTTACAGTCCTAAATGTTTTTAACATTCCAAAATATGCCTTGAAAATCTTCAGAAAAGAACATCAAAAATCAACATTCTTTAATTTGGATTTAACATCCTAAAATGTTTTTTATTATTTTTAAATATGATTGTACTTAAAAAATGTTTTTAGAATTTTAATTAATTTTCATATTTCAAAATGATATTTTTAGATATCTTTACAGTCCTAAATGTTTTTAACTTTCTTAGATGTATTTCAAGTTTGACATTCCAAAATATGCCTTGAAATTTTTCAGAAAATAACATTAAAAATTAACATTCTTTAATTTGGATTCAAAATCCTAAATGTTCTTTACTATTTTTAAATATTATTGTAACACTTTAAAAATGTTTTTAAGATTTTAATTAATTTTCACATTTAAAAATAATATTTTTAGATATTTTTACAGTCCTATATGTTTTTAACATTCCAAAATATGCCTTGAAAATCATCATTCTTTAATTTGGATTTAATATCCTAAAATGATTTTTATTATTTTTAAATATGATTGAACTTAAAAAATGTTTTTAGGATTTTCATTAATTTTCATACTTCAAAATTATATTTTTAGATATCTTTACAGTCCTAAATGTTGTATTTCAATTTTGACATTCCAAAATATGCCTTAAAATTCTTCAGAAAATAACATTAAAAATTAACATTCTTTAATTTGGATTCAAAATCCTAAATGTTTTTAAATATTTTTAAATATTATTGTAACACTTTAAAAATGTTTTTAAGATTTTAATTAATTTTCACATTTAAAAATAATATTTTTAGATATTTTTACAGTCCTATATGTTTTTAACATTCCAAAATATGCCTTGAAAATCATCATTCTTTAATTTGGATTTAATATCCTAAAATGATTTTATTATTTTTAAATATGATTGAACTTAAAAAATGTTTTTAGGATTTTCATTAATTTTCAAATTTCAAAATGATATTTTTAGATATCTTTACAGTCCTAAATGTTTTTAACTTTCTTAGATGTATTTCAAGTTTGACATTCCAAAATATGCCTTGAAATTCTTCAGAAAATAACATTAAAAATTAACATTCTTTAATTTGGATTCAACATCCTAAAATGTTCTTTACTATTTTTAAATATTATTGTAACACTTCAAAAATGTTTTTAAGATTTTAATTAATTTTCACATTTAAAAATAATATTTTTAGATATTTTTACAGTGCTATATGTTTTTAACATTCCAAAATATGCCTTGAAAATCAACATTCTTTAATTTGGATTTAACATCCTAAAATGTTTTTTATTATTTTTAAATATGATTGAACTTAAAAAATGTTTTTAGGATTTTCATTAATTTTCAAATGATATTTTTAGATATCTTTACAGTCCTAAATGTTTTTAACTTTCTTAGATGTATTTCAAGTTTGACATTCCTAAATATGCCTTGAAATTCTTCAGAAAATAACATTAAAAATTAACATTCTTTAATTTGGATTCAACATCCTAAAATGTTCTTTACTATTTTTAAATATTATTGTAACACTTCAAAAATGTTTTTAAGATTTTAATTAATTTTTACATTAAAAAATAATATTTTTAGATATTTTTACAGTCCTAAATGTTTTTAACATTCCAAAATATGCCTTGAAAATCTTTAAAAAGAACATCAAAAATCAGCATTCTTTAATTTGGATTTAACATCCTAAAATGTTTTTTTATTATTTTTAAATATTTATTATATATAAATACTTAAAAATGTTTTTAGGATTTTAATTAATTTTCATATTTCAAAATGATATTTTTATATATCATCACAGTCTAAATGTTCTTAACTTTCTTAGATGTATTTCAAGTTTGACATTCCAAAATATGCCTTGAAATTCTTCAGAAAATAACATTAAAAATTGACATTCTTTAATTTGGATTCAACATCCTAAAATGTTCTTTAATATTTTTAAATATGATTGTAACACTTAAAAATGTTTTTAAGATTTTAATTAATTTTCACATTTAAAAATAATATTTTTAGAAAAATGTTTTTATAATTCTCAAATGTAAAAATTTGCCATTTGATATACCAAAAATATGGTTCTTGATTAGTTTTCAAATGCAAAAATTCTTTTAAATAAAACTTTGTAAATTTTGTAAAAAAAATACCTTAAGTTGTTTGACATCCCTCTCTGCCCCTGGTATCCTGTAAATTCCGAGTTCGTTGAGTCCCTTCGCCTCAATTTCGTTAACGCAGTGTATCAAAATCCCCGGCACCATTGGCGCAGTTGTGGGGGTGTAGTCACTAACAATACCCTGAAAAAAATATTGTAAAAGCACTTTGTGTTTTGTTTTGGCGTTGAGGAATATTTCTAATATTTGTTTAACATATCACTCAAGTACCGTAAACACGGGTGGCTTTAGCTCACTTTCAAACTTAAGCTCAAAATTTTTGTGGTTTTAACAATCATAAACATTAAATTTTGTATACCAAAATTTGAGTCTTAAGTTGCTCTTTCATAATAACTATGTTATAATATTAGATAGGGCTGAGTTTCAAAAATAAAAATTAAAAACTGGGTGTGCAAAGTTACCCCCTGGTTGCGGGTTACTTTGTCTCAAAATGTATTTTCCGTATAAAATGAATTCAATATTATATTTTATTTTTATTAGACACGTGTTAGCATCTTTTGCAAGGGATTACCGATAAAAAAAATAAAAAATCGACCTGTAGTTAACCAAGGATCATCATTCCAAAGGATTGCGCATAATATAGAAATTGTAACGAGTGTATTTCTAAGAGTTTTGCACTGATGCGATTCATACAATTTTAAAGTGTAATAAATCCTATTTCTTTCTTTAAAACACTGATTTTCCTGTAATATAAACTTAATAGAATCGCTCAATTGACAGGTTTAGACCGACAAGTTATAAATGTTAATTTTATCGAGCGCGAAAAGATTTTTCATAAATGGGTTAAAGTCACCCGTGTTTACGGTATCTCTCACCTGTTGATTCTTCGAGTTCGGCGTGCCTGCCAGAGGCACGCAGGCCAGCGGCAGCTTGTCGCGGCACTCCAGATGACACAGCACCCGGCACTCCTTGCACTTGAGGGCGGTTTTGCCGAACCGTATGCGCCTCTCGCAAGGGCCGCAAGTGTCCGGCATCACTATCGTTTTTTGCTGCAGCACGTGTTGCTTGTACTGTTTCTCTCTGGCCGGGCTCCCCTTGGCCCAGGATTCGAAGATCAGGCTTGCCGGTGGCGCGGAGGGATTGGCCATGTAAACCTAGAAGCGTGGTTAGTATGTCAGGAGATCATGAAGGCGCAGAAGGATCTATTAAAAGGTCGCTAAAAATCCAATATGCCTCCTTGACATGGGTATAAAATTAAAGGGTTTAACAAGTAGAAAACGATAACATAAGTGAACATATTTTTTTTAAATATATATTTTGGACATTAAATAAAGAAAATTAAACAAAAAATAATGTTTATTACCATTCTAACATGTATTTGAGTCCTTCTAAAATGTGTCTTGACAAGTAATAATGTGTTACTGATAGTGTTGCAAACAAGGAAAAGTTCGGTCGAAAAGTTGGAAAAGTTATTAGGTAGGAGCCAATGAACAATGAGTTGACTTCTAACCAGTGTTTCCACTATCATAAATTTTTTTTGGTAGATAATTTGGTCAAAATTCGATATAAATCGCTAGATTTGAAGTGTTTTTAGTAAAACATGCTAAAAGCATTGTTTTTTGGAATAACATTCTGTCAAACTTTATCAAAAATGGTGTCTGCTAACAGCATTTTCTATTATATAAAGATTCTTTTATTATAACGTATTTTAAATTTATACACAGTATGAAAAAAATATTATTTTTTTTTAATTATGGAAATTTGCAAGTAAAAATATAAAAGTGGAAGAAGAAACTTTTCTTTTTCTTTTTAAATTTTTACTTGTAAATTTCCATAATTTTTAACAACAATTAATTTAATAATTTTTGCTTCATATTTTTTTGTAATTATTTTTTATGGTGTGTATAAATTTCTATTCTTTTTTACTTAAAAAATATGATTTTTTTAATTCAAACCTAGTTTATTTTTGTTGTTATTATGTTGTCTATTCATTTTATTTTGTTTGATATTTTTTTTTGTTATTGTTACGTATGTATAAATACATAAGAAATAAATTATTTTAATACATTGACAACAAGCATTATTTATGTTTTATACGTTTACATTACAAAAAACCCAACTTTTCCATCTTTTCCAACTTTTCCAAAAAATAAAACCCAACTTTTCAAAAATTTCAACCCTAGTTACTGACATTCTTGAATGTTTTGTTTTATATTATATTGTTTGGCATTCTGAAATAATGCTATTTCACTGTTAATATATCAAAGAATGCCTAAATATTTTAATAAACTGATTAATTTCCAGATTTGAAATTGATATTTTTGGATATTTTTACAGTCCTTAGCGTTTTTAACTTTCTTAAATTTAATTTAAGTTTGACATTCCAAAATATGCCATGAAATTCTTCAAAAAAGAATATTAAAAAATTAACATTCTTTAATTTGGATTTAACATCCTAAAATGTCCTTTAATGTTCTTAAATATAAATACCACTTAAAAAATGTTTTTATTATACTACTAATGTGTTTTGCAATTTAATCTTATATTTATACTTACATTTTTGCTTTTATTGTGTATTTAGCAAAATGTGCATTTTTTTTAAATTATTAAAATTTAGTCAATTTAGTAATTTTTATTTTTTGGTGATGACAATATTGTCCATTTTACTAAACTATTTTTAATTTTAAATGATATGTTGTCTATTTTCTCTATGTGTATTTTTTTTACCTATTTTGACAATATTATTTGATGTGTAGATATGTAAAAAAAAAATAAGGTTTTTTAATTATTTTTTTAATATTTTAACCATTCATAGAATTGTAACTTTTATATAAAAACTTGATTGGAATATAATATCTAGTATTATGTAGTAAATATTTTGAATTAAAACCGATTAATTTCATATTTTACTTATATTTTGTAAAAATAATGTGTTATAGGTGGCAATGTAAGCATTTTTTAATATTACATTGTCATGGATTTGTGTTTTTTGTACATTTTATCTATTTTAACGAAAACATGCAATTGGATTTATTTTATAAACTTACAATTTCTATTTTAAATTATATTCTGTCCATTTTCGTAAATAACGCATTTTTTTCTTTTTTACCTATATTTACAAAGTTATCTATTTTATAAACCTATTACATTATTCCTTCTGTTTTGTATTTTTTCGTAATTTTTTTTAAAAGCAAAATGTACAATTTTTTAAAGTTATGCAAAATATAGTCAATTTTACTTTACTATTTTTATTTTTAAATGATATTTTGTCAAATTCTACAAAAATATTTATTTATTATTTATTACAATCTGTCAGTAAAATAAAATTAAGATTTTGACATTATTTGATTGAAATATAATAACTAGTAATATGCACTAAATATTTTAAATTAAAACCAATTAATTTAATATATTTTTTTACCTTTTTTGACATTGTTTTTATTTCATATTATGTAAAAAAAATTGTTCATATTGTCTAATTTGGAGGCAGTGTAAGCAATTTTTTAATATTAATTTAATATTTATATTTTAATAAAAAAATTATTTTAAGAATTTTATAAAATTTACTATTTTCATTTTAAATGATATTCTGTCCATTTTTCCTATTACTTTGTACAATTTGAAATTTTTATTTTTGTCTATTTTTATAAATTTTATCTATTTTGACAATATTATCTAAAGACTACCAGATATTAAAATTTCTTTTTCTCATATGTTTTTCTTCGTTTTTGTTTATATTTAACAAAAAATTCGGACTTTACCTTTAATTTTTAATTGTATTGTGCTTTGTGCATTATTTTTAATGATATTTTCTCAACTTTATTCATTTTTTGTTATTTGACATTAAAAATAAAAATGTTTATAAAAACGTTTAATATTTTTTAACATTTTGTATATTTTGTAAAAAAAAACTTACTGCTGTAAAACTTTTCATACATAAACCATTGATTAATAACCACTTTTTCTTATTTTGTATATTTTTTGTTTAATGATTTAATAGCCCTATTATAACCTTATAATATATTTTTATTTTTACTGTATTATAGTTTAATATGTAAAAAAAAATTGTAAAAAATTCTGTAAAAAATATTCTAACAAATTAAATGTATTTTACTTACAACTGGATCTGGTTGTCCATATGGTTTTGGTACAGATTCAATAACAGATGTGGCTGTAATGGGGCCTTCTTTTGGTACTGTAAGGGTTGTGGTGGCTCTTACAGTATCAGTGGCATTAACCTAAAAAAAATCATGAGTTTAGTACCAAAACATATCTGTGATGTAAGTAAATTACCTCAACAAATTTATTTGAAGACGATCTACGTTTTTTAATTGCTGGCTCAGGAACTCCACCTGTACTAGCCCTGTGGTTTTTCCATACAGGGCCAGACGTAAAATTATCTAAATCATCTTCAGATCTTGAATAGCTGAAATCCGATAAAATTGAGCCTGAAAGGAAACAATTTGTAAATTAGTTAATTGTATTTTTACTTTATATACCAGTTGAGTTAATTTCTTGAATAGCACTTAGATTGTGATTCAGGGAACCCTCTTTCCTTTTCATAAGGTTTAACATGTCCAATTTTTCCCTTGTTTCGCTGGGTAAAACATTTAGGTCTTTTTGGTGAAATATGTCCTGTATTTGGGATATTTGTCTTTCCTACAATATTATTCTGTTAAACACCAATTTTAATCATTATTTCAACTTACTAATTGATTTCTTTCCCTCTCAGCCTGTTTAGTCATCAACTTCTCCTTATCCAACAATTTCCTCGCAACTTTCAAGTGATTCTCCAGCTCGCTGCACTCCTCCGTTTTCTTGTTGATCAAGGACTGAAGTCTTCTGCATTCCACCACGGACTCCTGCCAATGGCTCCACATATCCTTGATATCCTCAGCAAAAGATATAAACGCGTTTTCGATCTTGTCATGTCTTCGTTGCTTCACTAACCTCATCAAATCATCGAACACAGCCACTATGGATAAATCAGCCGAGTTGTACGACGCTTTCGATTCCCCCGTACTGCTAGTGGATTCTTCACTGTCTGATTTATCGGAGTTTTCTTTCGGGGTGTAAAATTCATAGCTTCTGGGGGTATTATACGGTAACGGCGTTTTAAACGGTGTGTCACACATATTGTATAATTATACTTAAAATCACTGAATTCACCCTGTCACACGCTTTATTTACATTTGTTACCTAAATATAAGCCGCAATTTAATAACAGCCCAGTGACAGTTTAAAATTTAACGTGTTTTCAAAACAACCAATCGGCGCGGTTGTTTGCGCTTGACATTTAACGGTTTTCTGACGGAAGATCAGTGTTGCCAACTGATTTTACCAATTTACTCTAAAAAATTTCACGACTACTTCATAACTTTACAAATGGATATGTTTTTTTAATCATATGGCTATTAATAAAAGTTGTTAACAACAATAGTTTAGAGCCAACATACCATGGTCTGTGCTGGAGACCGAATAATTATATTATTAATATCCTCTTATTGGCGACATTTTGTTGTGCAATGTTGCCAAACATCAAAAATTAAATTTCCAATCTCTCAAGTTTCCGAGTTTTCAAGGAGAAATATAGCCAAATATACGTTGGGTTACTACTCACAATAGTAGGTACTTAACAAAGTTCACAAAATTCCTCAGACCCTGAAATTCCATACAAATGTAAAAAATTACTTACATATTGGCAACACTGGGAAGGACTATAACGATCATATTTCCTTATTACAGATTTTATTTAATATTCCAATAATTTAAAATGTTTTAATGCAAACAAATTAATTAATGTAATAATAAAATTAATATAACATGGTTAATTTTTTGTAATAAATAAATAAGTTTTCTGTAGAGTTGTTTGTAGTAGGATCATAGATGGCGCCAGCCCTGCAAAGTGTAAAATTTACCTCTCTAATTTGAATTTTAAATGCGCTAACGGATGTTACATAAAAAGACTGATTGCCGATTAAATTTGTAAAAATAGCAGCGGAAATAATGTAAAAAATACCGTAACCGGGGAGTGCATGGTGGAATAAAAAATCGTAATTAAGTAATGCGTTCATGGCTAATAAAGGGAATCTGTGGAGCATAACGAGTGATATTAAAGAATTTGCTGCGATATTTAGTTACCCCAGCTAAAAGATTGTTGCGCGCCCATGCGCGCTAAATGAATTGAAGAAACAAAAGGGACAAAACCTGCGCTGGCAAAATGAAAATGTTACTTATCCCACCCCAAGTACGAAACTATAACCAGTTAGGGGTGAATGCCAGTAGTTTCATTATAACGAAACTGAATGCGGTGTTTTTTATTCCTATTGCTTAGCCTTAAATGGCATATGCTGTCGACATGCAGATATCTTGTCTTTATTGTTATTACAAACGGGTTTCTTTCTAAACGTTTTAGGAATAAAGAAAACAAAGTGTTGCAGGTGTTTTATTCTTATTTATAGGAGGGTTGATTTTAAAATAAAGTAATAAAAAATGGTTTAGAAAATTTAGATTATCCAAGATTTGAAAAAATACATTTTATTTTACAAAACATAATAATAAATAACTATAGGCAATATAAAAAATATGCTAATTTGATCACTTCAAAAGCCAATAGTTAGTAAAAACATAAAATAAACATCAAAGATAAAAAAAAATCAAAATTTTTTATTCTTTTATACAAAATTTACCAAAAAAAACGAAAAATGCACACAAAGACAAAAATTTGCCATGTCATGATAAAATAGGCGAAAGTTAAAAAATGGTCAAAAATAAGACATTTACAAACATTAAAAAAAAAGTCCGGGTGGGTATTGGTAAGGCGCTAAATTATTAATTGTTTATTAAATATAACTTTCCTTTATTAAATTTTGAATTTAATTTTAATGAAAAAAAAAAATTGCAAAAAATTTATATTTGTTACAGTATTTTACAAATATTATTTACACTTCCGCTTCCGCATCCGCTTCGGTTCCGCTTCCGCAAATATTTACTGTTGACATATGTAATTTTTTAATGGACTTGATAAAAATTACTATTCGCATCTGTTTTCCCTTCTGCTTCTGTTATGACCACTTCCGTTGCATTACCAACTTTTAGTAGTGCTGCAAAAGAACTCTGCGAAATTTATTTATTTATTTAATTTATTTTTAAAAAATTAGAAAATATTGTAATTTTTGTTATCTATAATTTTTAGATATCAAATTTTTTTATTTAATTTAAAAAATATAGGTACCTACTAACAACTATTTAAAATGCAGGTTGCTTATTCAAATGGCATTTAAAAATTGGAAAAAATCAGTAGTTCTCAAAATATTTGAAAAAAACTACAAACCTTTTAAAATAACGAAGTTATTTATTTTAATGCAAATTTTTGAAATTTTTTTATGCTTATTTTATTTTTATTTGCCCATGATGATTAGAGTATACTCTTTGGCATGATGGATTTTTCATTGATCTCTTCTAATAAGTATTTTTTATAAAATAGGGATGTCCCATTTACCTTACACCAACCTATACAAAAAAAAAATGCTAAAATACGAAAGAGAAAAACAAAATAGACAAAAAGGCAAAATGAAAAAAATGGGAGAAATTAAGGTTTAAAAATTGTCAAAAAAAAACTGTAACAATTTAATAAACCAACAATATTTTAATTAACAATTTTTATTAGTAATTTAAATTTAAATAATTATTACTAAATTTTCAAATTGTCCTCCATTTACATTTAATTTGTCAAATTTTAAATAGGCTTAATTGCATTATATTTATAAACTGGATAAATCTTTTGCTGTTCCCCAGAAACTTTTAATGGACCACGAACGTTAAACACCCTGTATAGGTAATTTAATAAACTTTCAATACTGCCCTATATTTTTTCAGTAATAACTACCTACTTATAGTTTATCACATCGATATCCGATCTAATCTTTAGTACCTACACTGAGAAAAAATGGGACAAATAAACTGTGTAGCTAATACTTTTTATTAATAGTGAATAGGTATATTGTTTATTACTTCTAAATAGTCGAAATAATAACGATAAATTTACTTTAGTAAAACTTTATGTGTCAGGAATAAAAATATATTTAGGATAAATAAACAATGCTTCTGTCCCATATTTAATTATTCTTTTTATTTGGGAACCATAAACTTTTTCTCAGTGTAGGTAGGTATCTAGCAGAAAAATAACCACTTGTGAAGAAGTCGAAAAACTTAAAGTAACGTAACAAATAATCATAAAAGCCGTTTGAAGTTGAATCAAACAACAATTACCTACTGTCGGAATAAAGGGCCCGATGCAATCAGAAAATCGTAATCCAAAATCGATAGAATTTTTCTTGGACCCCGTCGTCGACATCCCCTTAACGGGGTACGCCACTGCCGCCAGACACCCTTGTTGTTCCCTATAACCGTCCTTGTCCCGAACGAGGAGGATAGGTGCAGTGGGGCGCATGCCTAGCGCCACAGTCAATGAATGAACTCGCTCCGAGCAGGAGCCCCGCGAATTCGCCAGGAATATAATCATATTGCTGACCCATAGACTCTCTCGCAAACAAGCTGACGAAAAACGCGGTTCCGGCATTTGTTGTGCGGCGATCGAAGTGACAGTAGACAGCGGGGTGGTTGAAACTTTTCCAAACGTTCCCTGTTTTGCGATTTTCTCAGTCGATAAGTGCGAGGGTGTGTCGGACGGCTATGCTGACCTAAATATCCCATCGACAACACCACGGTGAGTACCTGCAATTAGTTTTTAATTGGGAAAAGTCACGGGCTGTCAGTCTGACAGCTCGCTGTCACAGCCTGCTGCGTTGACCTTACGTTTGTAGTACGGTTGCGCTACGTTTGTTTTTGTCCGGGGCTTCTGGAACCAGCGTTGCCAGATGATCAAAATGAAATTACCGTACCTGCTTGGTAAAAATTACCGTATTTAAGAAAAAATTACCGTACATTTGAAAAATTAAAATAAAATATTTAAAATATAAAAGCAACAAAATTAAAAAATATATTTTAATGAAAACTTAAAATAAATAAAAGTTAATTTAAATAAAAAACATTTAACAAAACAACTCAAAAATGCAGCCCATAATTTTCTCCAAGAATTTCATTCTAATCCTAGATATATGAGCTGGACTTTTGGAATATGTACTTATAAAAAAATCATAAATAACAAAAATCACAGGGCAAATGAAACTTAAAGTTAATAATAACATTATTATTATTCGATTAAAAACTCATCATGATTCTCTTATGCAGCTAAACCCGAGATGGCGTTATATTAATTTAAATGCACATATATGTATACTTCCACTGTGTGGAAGTATGTGTTTAAATGTGTAAAAAAAACATAGACAAAAGAAGGAAAGGACCATAGAGGTTTTTCTATAGACAATAACCAAATAGAACAAAAACACCAAAAATAAAAAAAATATTGTTAATAATATTATGTATGAAAATATGTCAGTTAGTAAATTTACCGTACATTTGTGTACGGTATTGAGGTTTGTACCGTATACCGTATTTTCATTCAAATTACCGTATAAATACGGTAATTACCGTACGAATGGCAACGCTGTCTGGAACATTTATTGAATAGTATAATGTAGATACGGAATGTCGTAATGTTTTGATGTCCATTGTGTCTTTAATGGTTCCATCAAAAACTTAATGGATTTCTGTGTCTGGGAGCTTTATTGCTCTTTTATCTGTTCGTATGACGAGGATTTGTGATATTAATTCAGGGATTACTAAGTTTTTAGTATTACTAATATACAAAACATTTAATCTTTACACTGATACAAAATATGGAAAAATATTTTTTCGGAATATTGCATTTCGTATAACCAATAATTGTTAAATCACAATTTTTATAATAAAGGACTAGGTATAACAAATAGTTATACTGCTTGACAAAATGAATAATATTGAAAATTTTAGAAATTGTTAAATACCTATCTCTTAAATTATTAACTTTAAGTATAGGGAATAGTTACATCTATGGAAAGGTTTTTTAATTTACTATTAGATTATGTAAAACATACCGGGTGTTACATTAAAAACAAATAAGTTTTTAATTTTTCAAGTCAGCCTAACTTGTCCTGGGTTTTCTCAGGTAATTTGTTGAAAAATGTTAAAGAATTGACATGGAATCCTATAAACAATGTTTTAAGATTAAAAAAATTCCACCCCAATATTTGCAAACCTAGTAACAAAAAAGTTATAGGTAGGCTATTCTCGATTGACGCGCATTTGTCAAATTTTAACGAAAAAAAATAATAACTCGAAAACTACTCAGTTTAGATATAGGACATGTCCTATATTATTATTTTAAATAGATAGAAGATAGAAGATAGACC